TCTGTAGTAGAATCTGCAGTGAGATTTTTTGTCAAACTTTGCCGATTGGATGTTGTTTGAAATAAAATCGCGGGGTCCCCAATCCCCATACTCGTTTTGGAGCGGGAGCAACTTGTAAGTGCGCAGTGATTCCTTGAGATACCAAGGGAGCTTCCGCATCAACGACAGCGATGGCAGGAAAAAACGTCACTTTTAAAATGAATTTGAGTGGGGTTTTTTGGCGTGCTTATTCCAGTTCAATGACAATGTCAAACTGTAGCGGCTGCGGGTGAATTTCTTGGGGACTGCACTCAAGTTTAGATAGAGAAGGAAAAAAATTCTTCCTCGCTTGTTTACGTCCTCCATAAACGTGAAATTAGGCATTTTCACATCGTAGTTGTGCAGTGACGGCAACGAAATGTAGAAAAATGTGTGATGCACGTGCGAAGTTGTTGTTTAGCTAATATAAACCTAAGCCCCGTGCAAACGGACGCAACTTAACATTGTTGGCCAACAACTCTCAACATTGTTGGATGTTACATGTTGCGTCCGTTTGCAGATCCTGTTGGATGTTGTTGCGTGTTGTTGCGCAAAGTTTGAAACCAGTCAAACTTTTCAGCCAGCGACTCCCAACATTTCTTTTCTTCCGTGATCGCCGGAACGTAGCACAACAATGTTGGATCCGTTTGCACAACTCTTCCAACATTGTTGGGGCCACGCACGCTCATTACGCATGCTTTACAAAGACTCATGGGTTGTATCCTTTCAACGATGCACTGCAGGTCCCAACATTGTTGGGAGTTGTTGCATCCGTTTGCACACCACTGCCAACATGCACGCAACAACTCCCAACATTGTTGGCGCAACAATGTTGGGAGTTGTTGCGTCCGTTTCCACGCAGCCCTATGATTTTTACCTTTTCTGGTGCAGTCGCCATCACCATTAAGGACCTTAAGATCCGACGACGGCGACGGCAACTGGAACGCCACAAAAGCAATAGGTTTAAGCAAAAAACATTTTGCACTCCAATTTGCACGTACATCACGCTTTTTTTTTGTACATTGTTGGCGCAACAATGTTGGGAGTTGTTGGTTCGTCCTTTAGGATGGTTCGCCACGCAGCCCGATGAAGATGATTTTTACGACTTTCTAGTTGCAGGTCGCTCCCGACTATGATAATATTTATGAGTACATGTTTTGAACACGTTTCCGACGGTCGTCTCTCTTTCTACGGTAGAAATTAGTCTTAATTTATTCAAGAAGAAGAACGTTACTGCTCTTCTTAAAAGAAGAGAAAAAATAAAAGGTCACTATTCTCGTTTACGAGAAAATGAAGATTTAACTCTCTGGGGAGCTCCACTCCAGTGTCAAGGCAAAAGCCGCCTTGTTTTAAGTGCGTGCGTCCTGTTATGATCTGTTGGCGTGGGCTTATCAAGCGTGAAGTAATGCGCAATGCATACGAAGGAATAACCTGAAATCCCTTCTCAGTTATTTTCATTTCCCTTTTTCAGACACATGACTGTAAACGTTGATCGCGGAATAGGCTGGGATTCGGCAGTGAAGCAGTTACAAGACAATGGAAAAAACAAGTTTGACGGGTTTTATTGTTCCAAAAGGGAACAGAAAGGGAGACGGCTTTACCTTCTAGCGATACAAAAGGAGTCTTCCACCCATCTTTTTAACATTACAAGGTAAATGTAAGGGCGAAAAACTGCTTTTCACCGATGTGAACGCCCTAAAAGTTCAAATTTTAGGTTGGTTGGTTGGTTTAAATACCGTAAATCCTCTATACAGCCCTGCCCTCTCTCTTAAATAAGCACCTTCCCCTCTAACGTTTCATCTGGACTAATCCGGTGTGCTTCATTAACCAGATTCAGAGACTTGAAGTTGTGATTTCTTCCTGTAAACGATAAAGTACATGCGATTAAGCCTCCCAGGATCTAAGCTCCCGGCGCGTCCAAACGAATTAAAATGAATTCGATTTATTATGACATTTTGAAGCTTGCTTAAAAACCAGTAAATGCTAAAGATTTCTTGTTCAGCACTGCTATAGAATGTTTCGAAGCGCCTTTTCTATTTCGGTTATTAGCCCCTTCGTTTATTAGCTCTCTTAAAACCCCTTAAGAAAATGTATAAACCCAGGGCTTATAAGCGACATATTACGGTTGTGGAATTTCTACCCAACGATAATTTCCGCTTTTACTTCGTTTTTTGTTTTGTGCAGACCAAACACAGGACGGTCTCCTTTGAAGAAGAAAAAACCGATCTTCTGCACAAGTACAATAGGATTTCACTGGAAGATGCAGGTAAGGGAGGCGGGCCTCGTCAGGCTATCTTTTGTATCTACCACCGGGAAGCCGTGTGAAATCAGAAGTGCTGTCCGCGTGTTTTACTGTGATTTGTTTGAAATCTAGTACACTGCACGGGTGCCAGCCTGTCCTAATTTGTAAAAAGATAGGCGAATATTCCTGAGCTAAATTCTCAAAAACTGTAGTTATCTTCAAAAAGAGAAATAAAAATTCGTTGTCGTCTCGTCCTCCATAAAACGTCGCTTTAGGGGGTTTCACGTCCTAGTCGTGCAGTGGACGTTAAAGAAATGTACTAAAAAGCGTAGTGTACGTGTAGAGCTATTTTTTTGTTCATAAAATGAATTTTTTGATGTTCTCGCTGCCGTCGTCGTTGTGGTTGCAGAGCTTTTGGAATGAAAACCAGTAAACAGAAAAATTCTTTTGTTGTGACTTCATGTTTTGCTAGCCGTTTAACAGGTTACACGAAAAGTAAAACTCGTAAAATTTCAAATACTTTTTGATTGGTCAGGAACTAAATGCTTTTGTATACTTTTGATTCATTAGAAGCTGGATGGAAAGCACAGTACGAAAGAACCAGAGATCACTGTATTCATGGATTAGGCTGCAAGACTGGACCTTCTTGTAAAAGTAAGTGAAAACTTTATTACAGTGGTGTATATCTTAGAAGTCCCCTGAAGAGACCACGAGGAAGTGACTCGACAAAATGATTTAATCCTTCTTTAAAAGAATAACTCCGACAATTTGTTAATTAATGAACTAATGAACGAATAAACTTTATGAACGTGTCAATACAATATCTAGTAGAGGGGAAACCCTCATCTAATAGGGGACACCTAAAGCGCGATACAATGATGACATTCAGTTGCAATGAAACGAATTTTTTAAATTTACAGTGAGCACGATACAATGAAAAGTTATCAACTTGTTACTGGCTAGCTTTAAAAAAATACGTAACGTTGATGGGTAATGCAGTCCATGATTAAGATATGGTCATGCTATCTTTCTTTATCCCATCCCATCCCATCCTATCCTATGCCATCCCATTCCATTCCATTCCGTCCTATCCTGACCTGTTCATTAGAAAGAAAAGACAGCATAGTAGCATTCTAATATCAATACCTTTTATGGTTACTTGGTATTGGCCATTTTGAGGTTGCGCGTCAGGTTCAGGTCATTGGTATGTCGAATGCACTTTGATCCCTTTTGACGCTATGTCTTCACTCATTGGCTGTTACGAGGTTGCGCAAGAAACTGGGTTAAAATTTCTCTCACAAAACAGTCCCATAGTGCAATTGGACGCAGAACCAACCCAGTTTCACGTGAAACCTCAAACTGGCCACTCTGTGGTCAAGAGTGATATTTCACATATATTTACACGAAGTCAAATGGCAACCATGAGAAAAATGGCTCACCATTGGATCGATCACCGTTTCTGGAAAAACTCCCAACCTCCCCACCCCTAACCCATGTTTCTTTCCTAAAGCCATCCGTTAGGGAAAAACAAGAGTCAAGGTGGGTTGGAAGGGACCCAGCAACTGTAAATAATTCAACGAGCTCCCGTTTTTGTTTGTTCGTCAGCCGGCTGTCGCATTACTCAGATCCATTTATTGTGTGGTGGGATTATTCCCTTGCTGTCTGCGTTGGAGATGGCCATGGCTAAAAATGCTGATAAAATTGGTCTCAGGTAAGTAACTCTTAATCCCTTCGCTTCCAAAAGAACTGATTATCAAAAGCATGAATCGCTATAAAAGCCAAAGCACTGCTAAAAAGGTTATATGTGAATGGTCGCACAATGTATTCACAGTATGTTTTAGCGGTTGATATTTTGTCCGTCTGGCGACTTCGGTTCCCGAGGCGTCAGTTTTGGTCGTGTCATTGTGTTTGGTTCTTGTCGCCGAGCAGTTTTCTTTTTCCTTTTGTTGCAGCAAGGAAAGTCGATCGCTGAGAGTAGTCCGCGTTGAGCTAGATAACGGTCAGCGGCTGGTAGGTCTGCGTTACCCAGAGCAACTCATGCACCGAAGCTACATTGTTTCTGAAGGAGCAAAAGTTGCTCGACGCCGTTTAGTAGTAAGTAAATATTGATTTGTATAAAGAAAAGTGTAAAAATCCTCATCACACACTTTTGTCCAAGCACTCGGGTTAAAGAACAGTTCCCCGACCGGTCCTTAATTTTAGCAACGTTGAACGATTGATAACCACTCAGTCATCATCAAGAACTCCTCTTAACCAGTCCCAAGAGTGACCAACATTAATTTTCTTAACAATAATATTTAACAATTATTCCTTCGCCTTCATGGTCTTCTGAGTCAATAGCCCATGAGGCCGAAGGAAATGGGCTATCGACTTAGAGGCCATGAGGGCGAGCGGAATAATTTTTTTAGTAAAATCCAACTAGCTGGTTAAAAATATCGAGACAAAACAGGTTTAGCAGGTTAAAGCTAGACTTTAATCCTTTTTGCCGCCAAAAAGCCCGCGCTTTTTGCTGCTAGTGGGCTATTTAACAATTATTCCACGAGGGCACGTTGGATATGAGATGATAGATAGCCAACGAGGCGCATAGCGCCGAGTTGGCTATAATCATTTCATACCCAACAAGCCCGAGTGGAATAATTGTTTTATTAAAACGCCCACAAAATGTCGTTGAATCGCCCTGACCAGAACAAACCGGAAAAGACAAGTGACTCCGCCATTCACATGTCACACGTCTATCAAAACTGTCAACGCGCGAACGGACTGCCTAGACTACATGAATGAAGAATCAAAACATTGTAGCGATGAACATTAGTTTTTAAAAACCTCATCGTGATTCTAGGATTTTACACAACAGAACAGCTTAAAACCTGGCAGATAATGAAGGAAAGGAATTTTTAAGTGACAGCCGTCGAAATTACTGTGAATTTGATTTTCGGTGGTTATAAAAGTAAGAACAACGGAGAAAACTACCGGTATACTGCGGTCGTTGTTATGAAGTTGTTTGAAGCCACAAGCTGGTTTTGCTGAACGAGAAAAGAAGCTATACTGCCGCCCTCGATTGCTCTAGTGAATGGCTGCATAGCCTGTATTTGTACTCCCTTACTTGTGATTTATATTCTTGATGTCGGATAAACAAGCTGCAGTTATCTATCGGCGAGTGACTCAGATCCCCGAATGGTTTCGCGATCATGAAGAAACAACACTTGTCGTTTCGTAGCTGGTCAAGGTACTTTTAGTTCCATGTGTTTTCATGTGTTTTCTGACAAACTTTCAAACAAGCTCTTGTGACTTTTTTGTTTGTTTTTGCCTTTTTTCTTTTGTTGAAATTGCATTTTAGTATTCTAAGAAATGAATTAAAATGATTTGGTTGGGCGCCGTTCTATCCTTCGCGAAAAAAAATCTCAGCCAGCTTCCAATTTTAAACTGACGCGTACACCGACCATATATGGAGAACATGGTATATTAGCTCATATACCATAACGGCTAAGCCAATAAAAATGCTAGAATTGCATTATCCAATGATTCAGTTTTTAATAAAACATAATATAGCCTAGCAGTAGCTCAACCAATCAGAACGCAGCATTGATAATAGACCACTAGTTGGATTTTACTAAATAGATTTAGCCAGGGCTAAAAGCGAAGCTCTGGTTAATAATGCTTATAAACAAGAAAAGTTAAAACGTGTAATGCTAAACGGGGACGGCAATGAAAATGGCATCAAGTTTAATAGATCTAACTAGCAAAAAAACAAATTGGACGTAGCACTTTTTTTTCTAATTAGCAAAAAAACAATTTGCACGTGCAGCACGCTCTTTTTTTCTTTGCCGTTGTTTTGCACAACTACAACGCTGTTTTTGGACTAAATCGTCAAACTTCCTAGTTACACATTATTTTTATGGAGGAATTGTCGTAATGCTTACTCCCAATATTTTGTCTCCCTCTGTCATGTTCGCTTTGTTTTCACTGCCCCTCATTTTCACCTTGCTGGGCGTTCCTTGCTGGCCGCTAGCATTTCTCATCGTCTCACCACCGCTTTGAATTTTTATGTTTTTCTTCCCACAAAATTTACTGTAGCTCTTTCTGTTATCCACGTGAATGTAAACATCAAAAAATAACATCGAAAAATATATGACTTTGTACTTCTCACTTAGGGCAAATGTTGGCTTAGGGGAGGGGTGGGCAGTTTCAGAAGCGTATAATGATCCATAATATTAATACGTAACCAAGAGAAAAGGTTATAAGAATTAATAAAAATGTAACCAAAATTTGATCTTTTTACCAAATTCTCTGTTCTAATTTTGTAAAGACACACGTGAAGAAAAAAAGTCCGGAGATTTTATTTGTCTGTGTATACTGGTTTCAGTACACAACAGAGAATAAGTTTTATTTTAACATTGCAGCATGATCAGTTACTTATCTGATATTTATTTCAAATTATTAATAACCTGCGAGAGTTCAACCTTCTCTCATTGCCCCGTTTTCTGGGGACGTTATGAGAGTCTGGTTAAAACTTTATCGTGCTTTGCTACCGCTTCTAGGCTTCAACTTTGAACCTTGTTAGATATTTTGTTTAACTTAAACGATTATCTTTTTTTGTTGTTGTTTTTTCCTTTATTTTCTGGGACAAACAAATGGTGTTTTGAGTTCAACAGAACCTTCTCTTAGACAGCCATCAAAAGCCAGCCGAGCGTTTGAGGGGGCAAGCGGAAACGCCCATCAACCAAAGGACGTTAATTTAAGGCTACTACCTCCTCCTGTAACTATAAAGAAATTCTTTAAACCGAAGATCTGTTGAACGATCACCGGAGAGTAATGTGCGCATCAGAACATCAGGATGTTAATGAAAAGAGCGAAAAAATGACTGCAATGAGATCGAAAATCAAGTTAAATCGAGAACAACGTCAAAAACAGCACGGATGACAAACAAGCAACGACCAAAGTAAGTAAGAAGGAACTCAAATCAATATACATTTTAAATCGAAGGAAGAGAAAAGGAAGAGCTCCTGAAAATAAAGGACCTTTTCAAAGGTGCTGCTATGTAATGGTCTTGTGCGCTACCTTGGAACCCTTTCGAAAGAGAACCTTCAAGGAAAGAACTTTGAAAAGAATCTAGTTCTGAAGCGCCGTCAAGGGCGATTAAAGACAGAAGCACCGGAGCATTTTGTCTTCGTTTGGGAAAAGGAGTGACAAAGATTCTAAGGACCAAATGGAGAAGGAAATTCTCTGCCCTGTTTGTGGGGAGAAATTTGCGAGGGATTGAAAATTCTGATATCAACAAAACACATCGACAATTGTCTCAGTAAATGATAAAAATTATGAAATTTATATATTTTAGCAAAATGAATACTAGTTATTCTTGAATCACAATATGACATAATTAGTATTAGTATTGTTACATGTAACTGATAAGTTTAGTTATGAAATTATAACACGTTCATGGTTCTGCAGTTTTTTTATCGAAATACTTTCAAAGAAACAAGCTTATGCTACATCCCCTGATTCTGCACCAAAAACCTGTGTCAATCCGTGATTTACGTTCCCATGTAATAGTCGAACCCCGCTTTGCGGACACTCGCTTAATACGGACACCATCATTATTACAGACGGTTTTCTTTTGTCTCTGGGGAAAAGAAAGCCTTACATTTCTCTAAAATTTGTTCAGAATTTCTATTACTGAGGACGGCAAAAAATTGTAGATGACTGTTCCATTCACGTACAATTTTCGAAGTTTATCTTAAAAATTCTCCATGATTTTCTGAAATTTTATTTTTTTATATTTTACTTTCCAACTAGGGTGTTTTTCGTTGAAAAAAAGGAACCTAAAACTTTTGATTCAAAATGTGGGAAAAGAGGAATCAGAAAATTTCTTTCGTGATGAGTCAAACTCATCTAAAATTTTGAAAAATAATACTGCCTTTTGTAATTTCGAAAAGACTCAAGTTCCCAAGGACGACCAAACAGATACAAATTTACGCGCCGTTTAGAATGCATTTCCAGATATTCAAAAGTACTTGGATAGCCTAAAAAAGAAACCATCGTTGGATGCCCTGATTAATAACTTATCTTTCTCCTAAACGGCAAAACTAGCCAACAAAATGGGTTCCTGTGCTAGTATGATTGATACCCCAATACATTCTAAATGGAAGTTTTATAATTTTAAGATAAGACAAGATTCTTTTGTCAGCCTCAAATCGGCAGAAAAGTAAGAATTTTACTTATTTATTTGCCAGAAAAATAATGGATATATATAGACATGCAATATATTATAAAAAATGTTATTTAAAGATAAAAAGAGGCGTAAATTGTAAGTAAAAAGAATTAAAAGTATTTTTCTGGCGAGAAAGTTCAAACAGAAGCCTTTGGGGTATTATTATACGAAGAAATATTCAGTCCGTGGGTCGGAAAATAAATATTCTAAAAGAGGTTTTCAATCGATAAACAAGCGTCAATTTTTGTTGTCGACAAACCACAAACTCTTTTCTTTCCTCGTCTGTGGACAATTCCTTTGACAAGTAACGTAATATCATCGCCCCTTTCCTCGACAACAAAAATAAAAACTTTTAGAGTTTACAAATGCAACTTTCCGCACATTAACAGGTTTATTCAAGTTGCAGCTACTATTTGTGGGTAACCTGTAAGAAAATAGTAATCGAAATCTTGATCACAGAACTTTTTGACAGTTTTGTTAAAATCCCAAGCTGTCGGAAAACC